CGTGCGCTCACCAGACAGACAGAGAGAGAGAGACAGAAAGCAAGAAATCACCCCCTAGGGGAGACGGCATTGCCGCAATCCCTTCTCCTCCATTCTCCTCTCGGGATCTTGGGCACGCACGCACATGCGCCCGCCCTGAGTTTAAGCCACCGGGTCCAGGACTCGAACCGCAGTCGGCTACATGGGAGTCCAGCGACATAGCCATTACACTAACTGCTGGTCCCCCGAGGTATGTGTGTGTGTTTTTTTTCCACTATAGGGCGCGTGTGCTTGCCAGACAGAGAGAGAGAGACAGAGAGACAGAAAGCGAGAAATCACCTCCCAGCGGGGATGGTCACGCCGCAATCTCTTCTCCTCCATTCTCCTCTTGGGATCTTGGGCATGCACACACATGCACCCCGCGTGAGTTTTAAGCCACCGGGTCCAGGACGCGAACTGCAGTCGACTACATGGGAGTCCAGTGACATAGCCATTACACTAACTTCTGGTTCCCCCAAGGTATGTGTTTTGATAGCTGTTTTGGAGTTATTTTTTTTTTTGATTGAAAGAAAATGGCATCTACAGTTTTACTATCTGCTAATTAAATTCATTAGGCTTTAGTATAGTAACATATTTTGTTGAGAACCTCAGTCGTACCAAAGCTGCTTTCTAACAAAAATGGAGGTTTCATCCATGTACAGTGGCAAAGCTAAGGGTGGTAGTGTGCAGTCACTGGGTGCACACGGGAGGCCTGAATTTGTTTTCTGGCTCATTCATAGCAGGCCAGGAACAGTGGCATGTGTTGGCTAACTGGGAGGCTGAGGCGGGAGGATCATAATGTGCAGAGACCCTACCAAAAATACTTCTCTCTCTCATAAGAAGGTTAAGAGTGTGGGAAAATAGAAATAAGGGAGAAGAAAATCTCTGCTCTCAACAAAGCTATATATTACGATGGCATTTTTGTTGAAATAATTTTCAATATGATGAAATCAAATATGATTTGTAATGTCAAGATTGATTAAACTCAAACTTAAACATAAGCACAAAAACACATTCTAAAGCAAAACAAATTATTTCTCATTCATTCCTGGAGGAATTTCCTTCATTAATTTCTCTGCAAGTTCAAAGACATAAAATAAAAAGTCAAGATGACCCTAAACACATCTGTTCAATGGTGCTATATGAAGAGATATGTTAATAGAGAATGGAATCTAAAGATACAAATGATAAAAAAGTGGAAAATTCATTTATCAAAGAATAAGCAGCCTTTGAGGTATAAAGAGTTATAGAATAAGACTGCTGCTATTGTTGAAGACAGATACCCAACATCTACAGGAAGGATGCTAGAAACAACAATAGATGAAAACTATGACAGATCATAGGGGTAGCTCATTTGACCTGTGTTCTCGGATGTAACATAATAGAAAACGATACGCTGTCTGAGGTTAAAATGCTGTCACATAATACTGGGAAGTTGAGATAATCTAGAAAAAGTCACAAGAAGAGAAACAAGAGACAACAGTATTTCTATCATTGAAAAGAGGACAATTAACTACTGGCTTCAATTATACTGCCACTATTCTGATAATTAAATTCATTAGGCTTTAGTACAGTAACATCTTTTTTTGGAACCTCAGTCATACCAAAGTTGCTTTCTAACAAAAAAGGTTTCATCCATGTACAGTGGCACACGCTAAGGGTGGTAGTGTGCAGTCACTGGGTGCACACGGGAGGCCTAAATTTGGTTTAAAATTATAAAACCACACCTTTTTCCATTCCTTACTCCCAAAATAATTCCCAAGCAGTAGATGCTGTACAGGGCATAAGTAGGGCTAAGGAATTACAGCTTTAGTGGTTAAGAACACAGCCTCCGGAGCTACAACAGTTAGAACAGAATCCTTGTGTGCCCCTTACTAGTGTCTGATTATGGGTTAGTTCTCTAGCCTTACGTAAATCGTTAAATGCCACTAAGTTCATATGTTGTCAGGACTACTTAGTTAAATGGTACCCCTTCCAGTTTTAGAATCAGAGGTAAGAAACTGTTAAATCTTCTGCGGATCACAAAAAGTAGGTCTCAAAATACTATCCTAAAACATTGTAAGCATAGATAAATCATATTAGTGAGTTGAAATAAATTACTATAAATATGCATATTATCCTGTTCAAGCTATTATTTTTAGATGATTTTTGTTTTGATTTATATAGCTGTGGTCATATTATATATAGGATTGTGTGTAACTTGTTTCTTCATTTAGCTTCATAAGATGATCAAGTTCTCAGGCTTATTAAATTTTTCTGAGACAGTTAATTTGCAACATTTAATGATGGCATATCACTTAAGGAGAATGATACACAACAGCTAACTTGATAACCACTGGTCTATTATAACACCTTTCTGTAAAGCTCCTATCAAAAGTGCATAAGAATTTAAATTTTACCACTGTAAATTTTCTATCACCCCTTTATATAAAAATAATAAGCCCTGGCTCTATTTACTACAAACATTTTTCTCAAGTTTGTTAATCGCTTTTTTGTTGTTGTTTAAAGGTTTTTGCCAAAGAGCATGTGCACTCACCAGAAAGAGAAAGAAAGACAGTAGAGGCAAAGAAAGAAATCACTTTGCAGGGGTCTGGCTTGCACTGCGATCCTTTCTCCTTCATACTCCTCCTGGGATTTTGGTATGTACACCATGTGGGATTTTGGACACTATATCACCTGCTCGCTCTGTTAACTGCTTTTTCCATTTTCTTTTTCTGTTTATTTTTTTCAAAATTTTTACTTTTCATATAATGTAATCTATTTTCCCTTTAGTTTCTTATATGTAAACATATGTAAGATGATTTTGCTTGACTTATACCATCTAGAAATGTTTTAAATGCTCTTTTATATTTTTATGCAGCTTTACAGCTTGATCATTAAAACAAAACAAAACAAAAAAGTCATGGAACCAAGATAGCATGGTGATTAGTTAAGGTGCTGGACTTCCACATGGTCAACCATGGTTTAAGTCCCAGACCTGGTGGCTTGAAAATCATGTTGAACACAAAATCCTAGAAGAGAATGGAGAAGAGATTGCAGCATTTCTCACTTTCTCTTTCACTGTCTCTTTCTGGGGAGTGCATACACCCTAAGGCAAAATCCTTAATAAATAAATAAATAAGTCATGCTTTAAAATTATACATTGTGGGGACCAGTAGTTGGCATAATGGCTATGTTGCTGGACTCCCATGTTGTTGACCATGGTTCGAGTCCCAGACCTGGTGGTTTAAAGTCATGCCGGGTTATGTGCGTGCGTTCCCAAGATCCTGAGAGGAGAATGGAGGAAAAGGTATGGCCATCCCATCCCCCTAGGGGGGATGATTTCTTGCTTTCTGTCTCTCTGTTTCTCTTTGTCTTTCTGGTGAGCACATGCAGCCTATAGCAAAAACCTCGCCAAAAAAAAAAAAAAAAAGAAAGAAATTACATGTTGCTTTACTCCAAAAAACCCATGTTACAAAGGAAAAAAAGTATAAAATCTAAATAACTACATAGTTTAAAAGAACAAGACTACATACTCCCTCAAAGTTAAATCATGAGTATGCTATATCTATTTATTTTATTTTTTCTATGCATATATAAAACTATAAGCATATGTTCATG